ATGTCCCTGTGGGTGTATATCTCTGTTGTTGTGTTCACTTATGGGTTAATGTCCCTGTGGGTGTATATCTCTGTTGTTGTGTACACTTATGGGTTAATGTCCCTGTGGGTGTGAATCTGTTGTTGTGTACACTTATGGGTTAATGCCCCTGTGGGTGTGAATCTTTTTTGTGTGTACACTTATGGGTTAATGTCCCTGTGGGTGTATATGTTGTTGTGTACACTTATGGGTTAATGTTCCTGTGGGTGTATATCTCTGTTGTTGTGTACACTTATGGGTTAATGTCCCTGTGGGTGTATATCTCTGTTGTTGTGTACACTTATGGGTTAATGTCCCTGTGGGTGTGAATCTGTTGTTGTGTACACTTATGGGTTAATGCCCCTGTGGGCGTGAATCTTTTGTGTGTGTACACTCATGGGTTAAAGTCCCTGTGGGTGTATATTTCTGTTGTTATGTTCACTTATGGGTTAATGTTCTTGTGGGTGTATTTCTCTGTTGTTGTGTTCACTTATGGGTTAATGTCCCTGTGGGTCTATATCTCTGTTTTTGTGTTCACTTATGGGTTAATGTCCGTGTGGGTGTGTATCTCTGTTGTTGTGTTCACTTATGGGTTAATGTCTCTGTGGGTGTATATCTCTGTTGTTGTGTACACTTATGGGTTAATGTACCTGTGGGTTTGAATCTTTTTTGTGTGCACACTTATGGGTTAATGTTCCTGCGGATGCATGTTACCAAAAGTAATAACTCAAGTTAGTAACTTAAAACTAAAAATTATCTCCTGTATTTTTTTTTTCTGAAAACAAATTTCATGTGATTAAATTGATAATGAGCTAAAAAAAAAAAACACACAACACTTAATTTAATGTAATTTGTAATTATAGATTCACTATCAAGAAAACAAAATTAACAGAGATTTTGGTAGCGTTGATGATATGAATATTTACACAAATATAACACATACCAGGTGGGACATTTCTACAGAGATTTGGATCAGGGGGAAGTCATTGTTAACTCTGTAGACCTGCAGAAACGTGTCTAGCACAGTTGTCTGCCCACAAGTTCTCTCCACTCTTCTGGTGTCCCTGGACACAGAACATCTCAATCCATCAGGTGTTGCTTATAAATGAAGGTTGCTAGAGTAAATCCCCAGCTCTCTCCTGTCTTGGTTGTACACTCTGAGACTGCTGTTAATCCATTTCTTTGTGTTATCCTCCCACGTATATTGCTGTCTGCTTCTTGCTGTCTTATGTTCAACTTTTCGATTCTTCTTTATATGGTCCATGGCGTGCAGCTTTGGTAGTCATGTTTATCCACCACCTTCTGTCTCGTGCATTTTCAAACAGTTCTGACATAGTCGATTTTCCATGCCATGATGTCAAACTGTCCAGCACCTTCTCTCTCCCAGTCACCTTCTGCTCTTCTTCCCTCCAACTTTCCCACCATCACCGTGTACTCTAATTTTCTCCTTCTAACAAGAACCGAACACTGTAAATTGTCTCTTTTTGATGTGGGCGATCAGTTCTCTCATGTGTCCATTTCTTTTCAGACATCATTACTCTTTTCATCTGCCCAAGGTGTTCTCGACATTTGTCTCTAAAGACCAACATCTCCTCTGCTTCTACATAGATTTTGCACCTGTTGACCAACTGTCTATGATTCACTTCCGTATATTGGGATTGAATTCATATATAATGACAAAGAAAGATTGCATAGATCATTCATTTTGAAAAATGCTGCCTGTGCTTGAGCTTCTAATCCATTTTAATTTCTATAATAATCTTCCACCTGCTGTTATCAGGGTACCCAAGTACTTAAACACATCAACTTGCTTGAGGTTTGTCCCATTTACTTTGATGTTGCATTTCGGAGGGTCCGTTTTCTTTGTAATTACCATTACTTCTGTTTTTGTGCTGTTGAAACTAAGACGCTTGTTTTCACTTTCTGTTACATGTCCACCCTTTCTTGCAGCTGTGTTCCACTTTAGCTGATTAAAACTACACATTGCAGGTTTTTAACAATATGTCCACCAACGGACATTCCTAATTTACCATATTTTCAGCTTGGATTTGATCAAAGTGTTATAGATCTTTTAATGTGGCCGACACATTTCATGGGTCTGGATTTTACAGCCCATGATCACAAAGAAGAAGAAAGAAGATGTTCTTCTTTGTTTGGAATGTTACCTTTTTATCATTAATCGAATTGTTTCAAATCAACATAGAATACCAGTATCATATCATGTAAAACCAATCAGGAGAACCCCAGTTTTAGCACTGAGGTCATAGGTCATACTGTTTTTATATCTGTGGTCCTTCAGTACCATCATCATCCCGTGACACTGCGTGTCGTTGGCTCACCAGTTTCTGTTGACTGTCTCCACCTTTGGCAGTCATTTGTGATGGACTTCATTTTTGCATGCCTGAGGCCTGGCTAGTCAGTAAGGTTCTGACTGTGGTCCTCATGCCAGAGTAATCTCTCTCTCCCCCCCCCCCCCCCAACCTCGACATGGTCATTTTGCACATGACTTCCCCAAAAAAAAAAAATGACTTTGCATCCTGCTGCGATGTAGACGGCCTGACAATCAAACATGACCTACAAGACTATTCATAGATTTCTGGAAATTGAGTCCTAAAGCGGTTATTCTGCATAATGGAAAGTGATATCCATCCACTGCAGTCGGACATGCTGTCTATATGAGTGAAATAAATGACAACCGAAAACAAATGTTAGACTGTATTCAATACAGTAAGTATTGCTGACATCCCTGTTGTCACTTGTTTATCTGGTAGCCTTGTTGCTGGGTCTGCAGTTGGGAAAAATGATACCATAGAAACTGGACCACGTCCATGCAAGCTGACCATTGCTGGACACTGGTCAGGGATGACCCTGAGCAGCTACACAGACGTCAGGCCAAAACACGGGGGGGGGGGGGGGGGGGGGTAAAAGCCGTCTTATGCTGGTATGTATCATGAGTCCATCATAGTGCTCTGTACTTCTTATTTGTGACTTGCTAGTCTGCTCTTTCGGCTTGCAGTTTATCCTGTTTGCTGACGCTGGTACATTATTTTTAGATTTGCTGTTTATCCTGTTTGCTGACGCTGGTACATTATCTTTAGGCTTGCTGTTTATCCTGTTTGCTGACGCTGGTACATTATCTTTAGGCTTGCTGTTTATCCTGTTTGCTGACGCTGGTACATTATCTTTAGGCTTGCTGTTTATCCTGTTTGCTGACGCTGGTACATTATCTTTAGGCTTGCTGTTTATCCTGTTTGCTGACGCTGGTACATTATCTTTAGGCTTGCTGTTTATCCTGTTTGCTGACGCTGGTACATTATCTTTAGGCTTGCTGTTTATCCTGTTTGCTGACGCTGGTACATTATCTTTAGGCTTGCTGTTTATCCTGTTTGCTGACGCTGGTACATTATCTTTAGGCTTGCTGTTTATCCTGTTTGCTGACGCTGGTACATTATCTTTAGGCTTGCTGTTTATCCTGTTTGCTGACGCTGGTACATTATCTTTAGGCTTGCTGTTTATCCTGTTTGCTGACGCTGGTACATTATCTTTAGGCTTGCTGTTTATCCTGTTTGCTGACGCTGGTACATTATCTTTAGGCTTGCTGTTTATCCGTTTGCTGATGCTGGTACATTATCTTTAGGCTTGCTGTTTATCCTGTTTGCTGACGCTGGTACATTATCTTTAGGCTTGCTGTTTATCCTGTTCGCTGACGCTGGTACATTATCTTTAGGCTTGCTGTTTATCCTGTTTGCTGACGCTGGTACATTATCTTTAGGCTTGCTGTTTATCCTGTTTGCTGACGCTGGTACATTATCTTTAGATCGCTGTTTATCATGTTAATGCTGGTAGACTGTTTTTCGCTGTTTATCCTGTTAATGCTGGTAGAATTTTTTTTCCTGTTAATGCTGGTAGACTGTTTTTTTTTTTTTTTGCTGTTTATCATGTTGATACTTGAAAACTCGTGGTTTTTTTGGTTAACCTGCCCTGTTGGAAGCTGGGATAAAACACCAGCTTGACTGCTTGCCAGTCCACCCGGTGGCCAAAGGTTCACATCCCTATTGAAGCAGAAGTGTAACATTTGGCATCGGCTCCAAGGTGGACCCAACATTATTGAGTACTTGGTCATACCCTGGGAAGTAAAGGTAGCATGCTGGTGACCACAGGGTCCATCAAGAACCTTCTGGTACCTATAAATATTGGGGGATCATCAATTATTAAATAATTCCACGTGGGTTTAAGGGTCCTATTGTAGTAAAAACAATAATAGACCCCACCCTCCCCCCAACACGCATGTCGTAGGAATTGACTGAGAGCTTCCTTCCTCCTTCTTTTTCACGTTCACCAGCTGTAAACTCTGACGGAAAGTTCTGGTTGTTCGTCCATTTTTGGACCGCAGTCCTGTTCCAGAATCTGAGTTTTGCCTGTGCATCCGTTTGACAAATCTGACTAATTTGTATGCAGACTGCTGGTTCCTTGCCTCTCCGGCAGATGCACTCCGACTTCGAAGGAAAGAGCTTTCTTTGAAGTTAGAGTGCATCTGCCCAAGCCACAAGGAACAACTAACTGCACACATATAAGCCAGTAAAATAGATGTACATGCAAAACTCAAGCCCTGGCACAGAACCAAATCCTAAATAGATGAACAACTAGGACTTTCCACTGGAGTTTACGGCCGGTGAACGAAGTAGAAGAAGATATATTAAACACACTTCTGGTGGATGGGACTTTACTCTGTTGATACTGAGCTCTCTCTCTCTCTCCTTCTCTTACTGTTTTCTGTATTATCAAGTTACAAATAATATGCACAAACCTTGTCTACTGAGTCTGGCACAATCATGTACACATTGTAGGAGATGGCGCAGATAAAACACCAACAATAGATAACATCATCTGATTGGCTTAAAGGATTGTAAAGTCATGAAACTGGATGATGATGATTATATTTGTAAAAAAAAAGGAAACGCATCTGGTATATCATGTAGAAGTCATGACGATGGTTGTCCGTTGTTGGCAGACGGGGACCCTGTGTTGACAGGAAGTGACCCCATGTTGGCAGGAAGTGACCCTATGTTGGCAGGAAGTGTCCCTGTGTTGACAGGAAGTGACCCTGTGTTGACAGGAAGTGACCCTGTGTTGACAGGAAGTGACCCTGTGTTGGCAGGATGTGACCCTGTGTTGGCAGGAAGTGACCCTGTGTATTCAGAGAGTGGCCCTGTGGTCGCAGGAAGTGACTTCATGCTGACAGGACATGACAAAGGTCCAAATCTCTCCAATGGCCATATCTAAAATCACAAACAATGAATTATGCAAACAATACAAAAACTCTAATATAAAAATAATTCTAATAATTGTAATCTCAAAATAAACATGTGTTACATTATTAAATTATAGTACCGTCTTGTTGGTAGTTTTGCTTGTTTGTTTGCATTCACACTAATTGTCGTGGACTCACAATTAGACCTGGAAATACTAGATTAATTGCAAACAGCAATAACCATGCCAGTATGGAGAAATCGGAAGGAAAGATTGCCTGATGTAATATGGACAGATTCTCACTAGTCATTCACACAGGTAAACTTTTGGTCAAAATAACTAAAAGAAAATGATGTCAGTTGGTAGAAGAACAACTCTAAGATGCGTAGATGGTATATTTAGGTGTAGAGGAAACAAGGTCATATGTGCAGTGTTTACATCAAGACAGCTGACAGAAAGAGCAGTATAGTATCATAGGGCTTATAAGGTTGCATATTTAAAAGATGGAATAAAAGACGGAAACAGCTTTTGTTGAAGCACCTACAAATATGCTGTGGAATGGCCATAGAGAATACTTAACTAGCAAATACATTATCAGAGTTTGCATGAGCTTAAATACACCAAGCAAAGGTTACAATAGACCAGAAGCACAAAACACCAAGACTGAGCAAGTTTCCGGTTGCAAGTATGTATGTTTCCTTCATCCAACATTTTATAACACACACTGGCATTATATTCAAAACCACAAAATAAAATGCAAATAAAGAAGACGAGTGCACGGATATCAAGTTTTAGAAGCAGAAACAGGAGAAAGCTGCCGGCACCATCTCAACCAAGTCAGTATTAAGCATGCGAGATATAACTACACTGTAATCATTGAAGATAGAAATGTCCCATCAATAAAATAAAGTAACAGTGAAAGCAAATATAAGAACTGTTTATTGGTCAACATCTTGTTATCGGTGTGGAATGAGCGGAAAATCATAACAGGGATGAGATGCCATTGGAAGAGTTGGTCTGACTGACTTTCTACCCCACCGGGACATCACACAAGCGATAAACACCAGATGACAAAATGTGCCACCATGTGGGTGAGGATCACCGTGGAGAGGTCCCAGAAACCGCGTTCAGCCTTTAGGCCATATTTATGGCCAGGCTATATTGTGGCCCCTGGCAAGAGCCACAGTAGGGCTTCAAATAACGAAAAATGTCATCCTTAAAAGGACAAGAAGTATATATATATATATATATAGCTGGTCACTACCAAGAAGAAACATAGCTAACAGTTGAGATATTAGAAAAAAACGTTTTACAATTCTTTAAAGAACAAGCAACAGAATGGGTTCACCGCCTGTCAAAGATATGCTGTACCAGGCAATACAGAGAACAACAATCATGAAATATAATGAGCACAAGCAAGGGGAAGACCACTCAAACAATGGACCAATGGCATTAGGAACAACTTTAGATAAATAGAGACTAAAATATAAAGTGTATTAGTTAATGCAGTCAGAAAATGCTTTTATCGCCCCTTTATCTCTACAACTTTACACTTACTTAGTTAAAAGAAGGAAGAAAGGAAACGACTGCTCATATTAAGTTAGTCTTAAAGTGATACCTCATCTCTGGACTTCCAGAACGGACATGGCAACTTTGTCTATTCTCAGCATCGTCTCTGACAAGAGAACTGTCTCAGTGATATTGCGGTCAACTGTATTTGCGACAAACTTGTCTGTGACACCGTACTCCTACAATTCAGTGGCAGCTTTCGCCAGACAAGAAACTATACTAATGACACTTTCATGAGTCACCGTCTGCCATGTGACTGTCAGTTTCAGACATCATAGTGTCATTATACTAATGGTACATTCCTTGTGTCACTTTGCTTCAGTGTCTGCCATGTGGCTGTCAGTTTCAGTCATCACAGTGTCATTATACTAATGGCACATTCCTTGTGTCACTTTGCTTCAGTGTCTGCCATGTGGCTGTCAGTTTCAGTCATCACAGCGTCATTATACTAATGGCACATTCCTTGTGTCACTTTGCTTCAGTGTATGTCATGTGGCTGCCAGATGTTGACATTACAGTGGCATACAGAAATGACATACACTATTGTTGTACCCTGAGTAGCGGTTACTAACATCAACATGTCATATGTTCACTGACCCGAAGTGTCACTTTACTGATGATCAACCCGTATGGTATGGAGCCGTACGTGCGAGAGTCGATGCTGGCCAGTTTGTTGTCTCCTTCTAGCCACACCTGGCCTTTGTCCACCTGGAGATATGACATTAGATGAGTTAACCATCCCCGGGGGACATGAGCTAAGGGATATCACATGAGCTAAACATCACCAGGTGACATGTAAGGAATATCACATGAGATAAACATCACCAGGTGACATGTAAGGAATATCACATGAGATAAACATCACCAGGTGACATGTAAGGAATATCAAATGAGATAAACATTACCAGGTGACATGTAAGGGATATCACATGAGCTAAACATCAGGTGACATGTAAGGGATATCACATGAGCTAAACATCAGGTGACATGTTAAGGATATCACATGAGCTTAACATCAGGTGACATGTAAGGGATATAACATGAGTTAAACATCAAGTGACATGTAAGGGATATCACATGAGTTAAACATCAGGTGACATGCAAGGGATATCACATGAGCTAAACATCAGGTGACATGTAAGGGATATCACATGAGCTAAACATCAGGTGACATGTAAGGGATATAACAGGAGTTTAACATCAGGTGACATGTAAGGGATATCACATGAGTTAAACATCACCAGCTGTGTGATGTACAAAAGTTACAATAAACATACATAAAGTTGCATGATGTACAAAAGTTACAATAAACAGACATTAAGTACCAGCTGTGTGATGTATGCAGGTTACAATAAACAGACATTATGTATCAGCTGTGTGATTTATGCAGGTTACAATAAACAGACAACAAGTACAAGCTGTGTGATGTATGCAGGTTACAATAAACATACAACAAGTACAAGCTGTGTAATGTATGCAGGTAACAATAAACAGACATCTAGTACAAGCTGTGTGATGTGTGCAGGTTACAATAAACAGACATTAAGTACAAGCTGTGTGATGTATGCAGGTTACAATAAACAGACAACAAGTACAAGCTGTGTGATGTATGCAGGTTACAATAAACAGACAACAAGTACAAGCTGTGTGATGTATGCAGGTTACAATAAACAGACATTAAGTACAAGCTGTGTGATGTATGCAGGTTACAATAAACAGACAACAAGTACAAGCTGTGTGATGTATGCAGGTTACAATAAACCGACATTGTGTACCAGCTGTGTGATGTATGCAGGTTACAATAAATAGACATCATGTACAAGCTGTGTGATGCATGCAGGTTACAATAAACAGACAACAAGTACAAGCTGTGTGATGTACACAAGTTACAATAAACAGACAACAAGTACAAGCTGTGTGATGCTTGCAGGTTACGATACACAAGTAAAAGTTGTGTGATGCTTGCAGGTTACAATAAACAACAGACATCAAGTACAAGCTGTGTGATGCATGCAGGTTACAATAAACAGACATCAAGTATAAGCTGTGTGATTTACACAGGTTACAATAAACACACATCATGTACAGGTTGTGTGATGCATGCAGGTTACAATAAACAGACAACAAGTAAAAGCTGTGTGATGCATGCAAGTTACAATAAACAGACATCATATACAAGCTGTGTGATGTATGCAGGTTACAATAAACAGACAACAAGTACAAGCTGTGTGATGCATGCAGGTTACAATAAACAGACAAGTACAACTACTACTTCAGCTACTCACAAATTCCTGAAAACCTGTCTCATCGTTAACCACGGTTTCTCCTTCCAGGGCAATCAGCCGCTTACAGATGACAGCCCTGGGGTTTTTGGGAGAGCGACAGAAGACAACATCACCCCTGCAAACAGCACACCGATTATAGCACTTCTAATGGTGGCTGCAACGTCACTTTCTAACAGCACTTCTAATGGTGGCTGCACCAGCACACAGATTATAGCAATTCTAATAATGGATGCAACAGCACTATCTAACAGCACACAGATTATAGCACTTCTAATGGTAGCTGCAACAGCACTATCTAACAGTACACAGATTATAGCACTTCTAATGGTAGCTGCAACAGCACTATCTAACAGCACACAGATGATAGCACTTCTAATGGTGGCTAAAACAGCACTATCTAACAGCACACAGATGATAGCACTTCTAATGGTGGCTGCAACAGCACTATCTAACAGCACACAGATGACAGCACTTCTAATGGTGGCTGCATCAGCACTATCTAACAGCACACAGATGACAGTACTTCTAATGGTGGCTGCAACAGCACTATCTAACAGCACACGGATGACAGTACTTCTAATGGTGGCTGCAACAGCACTCAGATGACAGCACTTCTAATGGTGTCTGTAACAGCACTATCTAACAGCACACAGATGACAACACTTCTAATGGTGGCTGCAACAGCACTAACTAACAGCACAGATGACAGCACTTCTAATAGTGGCTGCAACAGCACTAACAGCACACAGATTTAGCACTTCTAATGATGGCTGCAACAGCACAATCTAACAGCACACAGATGATAGCACTTCTAATGGTGGTTGCAACAGCACTATCTAACAGCACACAGATGATAGCACTTTTTATGGTGGCTGCAACAGCACTATCTAACAGCACACAGATGATAGCACTTCTAATGGTGGCTGCAACAGCACTATCTAACAGCACACAGATGATAGCACTTCTAATGGTGGCTGCAACAGCACTATCTAACAGCACACAGATGACAGCACTTCTAATGGTGGCTGCAACAGCCCTATCTAACAGCCCACAGATGACAGCACTTCTAATAGTGGCTGCAACAGCACTAACAGCACACAAATTTTGCACTTCTAATGGTGGCTGCAACAGCACTATCTAACAGCACACAGATGATAGCACTTCTAATGGTGGCTGCAACAGCACTATCTAACAGCACACAGATGATAGCACTTCTAATGGTGGCTGCAACAGCACTATCTAACAGCACACAGATGATAGCACTTCTAATGGTGGCTGCAACAGCACTGTCTAACAGCACACAGATGATAGCACTTCTAATGGTGGATGCAACAGCATTATCTAACAGCACACAGATGATAGCACTTCTAATGGTGACTGCAACAGCACTATCTAACAGCACACAGATTTAGCACTTCTAATGATGGCTGCAACAGCACAATCTAACAGCACACAGATGATAGCACTTCTAATGGTGGTTGCAACAGCACTATCTAACAGCACACAGATGATAGCACTTTTTATGGTGGCTGCAACAGCACTATCTAACAGCACACAGATGATAGCACTTCTAATGGTGGCTGCAACAGCACTATCTAACAGCACACAGATGATAGCACTTCTAATGGTGGCTGCAACAGCACCATCTAACAGCACACAGATGATAGCACTTCTAATGGTGGCTGTAACAGCACTATCTAACAGAACACAGATGACAGCACTTCTAATGGTGGCTGCAACAGCACTATCTAACAGCACACAGATTATAGCACTACTTCTGGTGTGTCTGGTGTGCGTCTCGTTTTTTGCTATGCCGATCTTAATTCCCAAGTCTGCCATTCTGGCGAGTGATGTGGATTCACTGCCCCCCCCCCCCCCCCAAAAAAAAAATCCTCTATCCTTTCCATTTCTCTGAGTGCATTAATAATATCAGCATGATCCATAGGCTGACCATCGGTAGTGATAGTGGATCCGGCCAGCCTATCAGCTCTTTCATTTCCATCGACGCCTGCGTATCCTGGAACAAAAATAAAGTTGACTCCACGCACAGTGGAGTTTTGTAATGATTCAAGCCATTGTCTTCGCACCGAACCTGTCTGAACCCCCCGGATCATACTCATTGAATCACTGAGTATACACACGAGGGTGTAGTTTTGTGTTTCGAGCCAGGCGAACTGCCATCACCTCCATCGTCATACTACTGGTTGGAAGGGACAGTTGGTAGTTATGCCAAAGCCGATATAGCTCTCATGGTGAGAAACAGAGCACCAGCACCACCATGGCCAGAGGAGACATATTGTATATAGGACTTGTTTGTGGAATGTTAAACAGAGTTTCACACAAGTTCACAGAGAAACAGCATTCCCTATTGGTAAACAGAGGCACGTTGTAAACGTTATTTCTGGTATTGCAGCTGAGCTTTTACTATGGCTAGATCATGTTTAGCATTCTTTGTCTTCGTAACTTATCAGTCTCTCCTTTTTTTTTAACACTGATTTTACCATTTCCAGGACTTAGGTGTGTCGCCATCACTTTATATGCCAAAGGTTGCACAAGGTCCCACAGTAAATTCAATGTCCAGGTTAATCTGTAGTTTGATTGTTATCATTGCCAGGATCCCTGTGTTTTGGAGACACTGCTGAAATTCCTCTTCACAGATCCCTGTGTTCTGGAGACAGTACTGAAATTCCTATTCACAGATCCCTGTGTTCTGGAGACAGTACTGAAATTCCTATTCACAGATCCCTGTGTTTTGGAAACAGTACTGAAATTACTCTACTCAAATCCCTGTGTTCTGGAGACAGTACTGAATGAAGTCCCTCTACTCAAATCCCTGTGTTCTGGAGACAGTACTGAATGAAGTCCCTCTACTCAAATCCCTGTGTTCTGGAGACAGTACTGAAGTCCCTCTACTCAAATCCCTGTGTTCTGGAGACAGTACTGAAGTCCCTCTACTCAAATCCCTGTGTTCTGGAGACAGTACTGAAGTCCCTCTACTCAAATCCCTGTGTTCTGGAGACAGTACTGAAATACCTCTACTCAAATCCCTGTGTTCTGGAGACAGTACTGAAGTCCCTCTACTCAAATCCCTGTGTTCTGGAGACAGTGCTGAAGTCCCTCTACTCAAATCCCTGTGTTCTGGAGACAGTACTGAAATACCTCTACTCAAATCCCTGTGTTCTGGAGACAGTACTGAAGTCCCTCTACTCAAATCCCTGTGTTCTGGAGACAGTACTGAAGTCCCTCTACTCAAATCCCTGTGTTCTGCAGACAGTACTGAATGAAGTCCCTCTACTCAAATTCCTGTGTTCTGCAGACAGTACTGAATGAAGTCCCTCTACTCAAATCCCTGTGTTCTGGAGACAGTACTGAATGAAGTCCCTCTACTCAAATTCCTGTGTTCTGCAGACAGTACTGAATGAAGTCCCTCTACTCAAATTCCTGTGTTCTGCAGACAGTACTGAATGAAGTCCCTCTACTCAAATCCCTGTGTTCTGCAGACAGTACCGAAATTCCTCTTAAGGTGTTTAGTCTGTGTTCAGGCTGTTTTCAGTATCACCGTTGCTATTTGTTTGGGATCCTTTCGGTATATGGTTCGATACATAAAAGATACAGTATAATCATTGAGTGACATTCTGTAGCCAACTGTGAAGGCCGCGCAGGAATGTGACCGTGTTGCCGTGGATGTATTTATTCGCAGAGCAGCAAAAGCAGCTCCCCAAACATCAGAATCTATTCAGCTAAGATCAGACAACGAGTAGCTCACTAAACATGAGAATCTATTCAGCTAAGATCAGACAATGAGTAGCTCACTAAACATGAGAATCTATTCAGCTAAGATCAGACAATGAGTAGCTCACTAAACATGAGAATCTATTCAGCTAAGATCAGACAATGAGTAGCTCACTAAACATGAGAATCTATTCAGCTAAGATCAGACAATGAGTAGCTCACTAAACATGAGAATCTATTCAGCTAAGATCAGACAATGAGTAGCTCACTAAACATCACAATCTATTCAGCTAAGATCAGACAATGAGTAGCTCCCCAAACATCAGAATCTATTCAGCTAAGATCAGACAATGAGGAGCTCACTAAACATGAGAATCTATTCAGCTAAGATCAGACAATGAGTAGCTCACTAAACATCATAATCTATTCTTAACATCCAACAGGCTAAACAATAGTTCTAACTAGCTGATAAATGATTTCTTTGACACAAACTCCCTGTTCACATTTTCAACAACAACAACAGATCAAAGAAGACGAAAAAACAATATAAGCTAAACTTACTTTTGTAACAGCCGATGATTGACATAAAATGGAGACAACAGAACCAAATCTCCATGCTGAATGGTTGGCCACATGGACACGTCCTCACACTATGTGACAAACAGAGAAGAAAAACACACCTTCTCTTTGTACTTTTATCACAGGAGAAAATTGACACCCAATGTCACAAAGAACAGACAAGCATACCTTCTCTTTATACTTTTATCACATGTCAGAAATCACACATAGTGTCAGAACAAACAAACGCGCATTCTTGTTGAATTGTTATCACTTGTCAAAACTCACACCAAGTGTCAAACGGAACAGACTCACATTCTCTTCGCAGTTTTATCCCGTATGGTAACTTAGTTGAATATGTTTTACAGGTCATCGTCACTCAAATCTACTATTTACTGCTGACTGGGTGGTTTTGCTGGGGCAAGTTTATGTTCAGTATATTGCCATTGCTTTCTGGACGGTACAGCGCTCATAAGTAAAGTGAAGGAAAATTTACTTGCCAGCAGCGAACTTGCCATTTGGTACCAAACACACATTTTTATACATGAATCAGAAGCCCATGGGTGCTTTGGTCAACACAACGCCAACCGCTTTGCCATTTCCTGGTACTCAGGCTAGACTGGGGGGGGGGGAACCACTCAGTGTAGACTGGGGGGACCACTCAGTGTAGACTGGGGGAAACCACTCAGTGTAGACTGGGGGGGGGGGGGGGAACCACGCAGTGTAGACTGGGGGGAACCACTCAGTGTAGACTGGGGGGACCACTCAGTGTAGACTGGGGGGAACCACTCAGTGTAGACTGGGGGGACCACTCAGTGTAGACTGGGGGGAACCACTCAGTGTAGACTGGGGGGACCACTCAGTGTAGACTGGGGGGAACCACTCAGTGTAGACTGGGGGGACCACTCAGTGTAGACTGGGGGAACCACTCAGTATAGGCTGGGGGGACCACTCAGTGTAGCTGGGGACCACTCAGTGTAGACTGGGGGGAGGGGGAACCACGCAGTGTAGACTGGGGGGAACCACTCAGTGTAGACTGGGGGGAACCACTCAGTGTAGACTGGGGGAACCACTCAATGTAGACTGGGGGGACCACTCAGTGTAGCTGGGGACCACTCAGTGTAGACTGGGGGGACAACGCAGTGAAGACTGGGGGGAACCACTCAGTGTAGACTGGGACCACTCAGTGTAGCTCGGGGGGTAACCACTCAATGTAGCCTTGGGGGACCAATCAGTGTAGACTGGGGGAGGGGCACTCAGTGTAGCCTGGGACCACTCAGTGTAGACTGGGGGACCACTTTGTGTAGACTGGGGGATCACTCAGTGTAGACTGGGACCACTCAGTGTAGATGGGGACCAGCTGACAGATGAGGTACTGTCAATACGTACTATTTTTAGAGTGGTGTAGACAGGGGGTTGTGAGCCTAAGAATCCTTAAAATTTTGGTTCTGTTCACATTTTCCGGCCCATTTACACATGTTCTGATCTTTTAGGGATACATTTTTAGACTCATCTACATCGGAGGGTTGTAACGTTGTCTTACCTCCAATGACATCAAAGCCGATGTCGCATGTTTTATACTACACGACGACACAGCTTTCAACAATCCTAGAACATCTAGAACTGGCTCTAAACCAAACCCACAGCCTGAGCCTATGTCACACGAGAGACTCCTTTTAAAGAAAGCAGTACAAGGTGACACCCTTCTGACCTAGATCAGACTGAGAAAGTTTATGGATGGGCCGGAAAACGTGAACATGTCCAAAATATTTGCTAGGAGGCTAAGAGGGCTCTCTAACCATGTATAGAAATTCAATTTTGAGTATATGTTGATACATTTGATACTTTTTCACATATATTATATTTATATGCAGTTCGACATATACTATGAATAATAATTATTTGATTGTTTGAATATACACTTCAACAAGGCTTAAAGTCACAGTGTTCCATCCAGCAGATAACAATGAGGGGCATAGCCTCTTGGGGCCCTTGTGTTTTATGATGTGATGTTTTCAACGGACTACCAGCAACTGTGTTGAGAAAGATCGAGTCAAACTGGATAACGCCTGGTGAAATCTTTCTCTTTGATCCTTTAGAAATCCTTATTTCAGGCGTCCAGCAGCCTTGTTTCGACTGTGGTACCAAGAAGCCGACCGTCCAGGAGGCAATGTCGAACTTCAAGACGTAAATTTGCCTAGAGAAACCACACAACAGCCAGGGGCTGCTGGGGTTAGTTCTGCAACGTCCTGTAAAGGATACGCAACTAACCTCAACTATCTCACCGTCTTGTGATAAATACAGTAAACATTGCATCATACCTTGCCAAGTGCACACACAAACTTGAGCACACAGTAGCCGGAGCTGATTCCAGACACGGTGTACACGATTGATTTGTGCAGCACTGAAAACGCTGAAGCCATACTTGGTGTATATGATGCTTCCCCTGAAATGACTAGCATCAGATGATGGATGCGATCAGTGTCTGTCCCTGGATGCCTGAAACAAGACATGAGACCAGCCAACATGACAATAACAGTTGTAAGAACTCAAATATATTTGTGTGACACGATCCATGAGAATTTGTTCTAACTACAACAATAAAAACTATGATACTTATCACCAAATTTCAAGTCAGAACAATTGTCACTAAAAATACCTCCCCCCCCCCTTTCCCGTAATTAGAAAGAAAATCAAGAAATGATGGCCACGCAAGAACTGAATCACAAAGTAATATTTCAAATGACTGATTTTGCAAAGGAAAAAAAAAAACCGAATCAGATTAAAACCATGACTATGGCTCCTTCAATTATCTGAACAGAACAGTCCATGTCAGAATAGCGCTAGACATTGTAGACTCGTCACACACTCATATAAATTAGGTATGAGCCAGAAAACTCTCTTTCAGTGTCTTCATGTTGAACAGACTTTTAAGAGCAAGCCCTACAAGACTGTCCTCTCCTGAAGTAACTGTGAAGCAACATGTGGCTACACCCAGTTGACCTGACAACTGTGAAGCAACATGTGGCCACACCCAGCTGACCTGACAACTGTGAAGCAACATGTGGCCCCACCCAGTTGACCTGACAACTGTGAAGCAACACGAGGCCACATCCAGTAGACCTGACAACTGTGAAGCAACACGTGGCCACACCCAGTAGACCTGACAACTGCTCAGCCAGCCACTTCAAACTACGGTAAATTTGTGTTTTTAAAGTTCAAATGAGACCTTGAAAAGACATCCCAGTTTATGGCCCACAGTGGATTATTCCATGACCAGAGATCGCTAAAGAAGAAGAACATAGGTGCCGGTTCAGTCACACCGAGCACCACCCCTTGGGTTGGCACTGGAGAAATGTTAATTTACAATAGAAGCGTCCTTTAGGGTCGCCGTGGCAAGGAGTGTCTAGCGTAATTAAAGTGTTAATTAAAATGATACAAAGGCGACACTGGAGAGAATTGCTGGTGGCAGTGATAGGGGTGATGTCAATCGTAGTCATCATAAGTAATAAGATAGAATATAATCTCTCTGGTGGACTCAGCCTAAACTGACTAGGAAATGTCCCGGGAAGAAAACACGGCGTCATAACGTTGACAACATCATCTATCCAATACCGACTGGTTGTAACAGTGATTGACATCTAAACCAGTGAAGAAACAATTTGTCGTTTTATTTTTGATATCTTCCCGTCTTTCTGTGGCATAGAGAAACATGATCCACAGTCTGTGGCGATGGCGAGAGGGACTAGCAAGACCCGCTCGCATTCAGAAAAGTCTCCCACAGTTAGAGAATTTATTTAATGTGCTTATTTCCAGATACTCAACTGGAAACCTAAGAGAAAACAAAGCACATTCCAGTGGGTACAAGAAACTGGCACTTCTCCTTCTTCTTCGCGGTCACCAGCTGTAAACTCTGGTGGAAAGTTCTGGATGTTCATCCAATTCTGGACTGCAGTTCTGTTCCAGAACCTGAGTATTGCGTGTGCATCCGTTATACAGATCTGACTCATTTGCATGCAGGCTGCTGTTTCCTTTTCACTCAGGCAGATGCACTCCGACTCTAAAGGAAGCCCCCAATTAGTCGACTCTTACGACATGCTTTTGGGTAGGCAGTGGGACTATTCTTGTTTTCCCTATAATAGGGCCCCGGACCCACACGGGTTCAGGCCTAGTTATTTTCTTATTTCTTCCCTTTAACAATCACTGCTTGTTACTCTGGCAGCTCCCCCATAACATCTCGTCTCTGCTGTTATGATGTTCCACTCATTAAATTTAATGTTAAGTTAAGAATCCACATCACAGCGCTCGGGACACTTCCACAAACGCTCCGTCCCAATCTTCAGCAGTAAGCGAAGAGTTCCAATTCCGATTGTACCAGTAACTGTCTGATTGTATATCCGGGTAGCCTTTCCCTTAAGTGTTGAGAGTCAGTGACAATCACGGCATGTATGTACAGCTGATTCTCAGTCCAGTGAAAGGCAGCAGTGACTGCCTCCACCTCCATTCTTTAACTAGACTTTGTGGTATCATATGCCAGGCTATGTTGCAGTAAACGACGTCCATTTGCCTTTGCTATGAACCCCTATGCACTTCGTCTGCCTCTCAACACAGAGCCATCTGTACTATAGTTAATCACATCACTTGGGCGAGAATTGTCATAGATCATTTGTTAAACTTCTGACTCTGCAGCACCAGCTGGCCAGTCACTGCACCCACGACCTGAAGTTCCACCAGTTAAATAACCGATTAATCATAGATATATTAGGGATCCATGATGTTAGTAAATTATACATAAATACTTTATGGGTTCTGTATCTATCGTTCTAGTTCGAGTACAGACGATGACAGCGCTTAAATCAAATCTTATAACCCAGAAGGGTGAACATGATATTTTTTGAAAAAAAAAAAAAAAACCTCCAACTACTACTACTATTACAACCACTACTACTACTATTACTACAACTACTACATTACAATCTAAGAAATTAAAGTAATAAACCAATCTTCTTCTTCACTTCTACCAGTTACCTCAGCGAGGTGTCGTGGGAGGTGCAAGGATCGTTTGTACGATTTTGTCAATGCTTTGTACAAGTTAGTGTTCATTTCTGTTAGGTTGCTCCTTGTGAGGTATTCCCCTTGCTTTGTGTTTATATTATATTTCTTCAGCGTGGCTCTTTGTGGCAGACCATGGCATTCTAGTCATGTGGCTAAAAAATAAATATTAGTCAATAATTCTTTAATGTTAGTTAACAAACAATTTAACTGACACCAACTGCCATAGTCAACTTGCCAAGAGATACCTTAAACTCTGGATCCTAAACACACTGAAAATCAATTATCGCAAACACAGCCATTTTCATATCTTTGGCAACAGCAGACATGGGAATGTTATAAAAAGTACTCCACTAAACTAAGATACGGCTCAAAATAAGCAGCCATTGGTATCTAGTATCTGTTAGTAGATGTAGAAAATAAGGGGTGGAGGTGAGCGGGATATTTAGCATAGGCTGCAGCGTAAAATAAGGATTTATGTTTTGGGAAAGCTTAACCAGATGTTTAAAAAAACAAAATACGTAGAATAGAGTATCATCATCATCAGGTGCCTTGCCGACTGGCGTGGGTGATGATGCCTCTCCACACTCTGCGATCTCCTGCAGCATGTATCAGTTCGTGTGGTGACACACTTCCATGCCATGCAACAAGACTGTCAAGAATCTTCTGTCGTTGTCTTCCTTTATCCCTCCTTCCACAGATCTTTCCAGTGGTCACAACATGTTCTATTTTCCCTCTTCTCATAACATGGCCTAAAAATGACTTCTTCTGATGTCTATGATAAGTTGTCTTCGGGCTCCTGCCCTTTTCAAAACCTCTTGGCTGCTTTTTTTATTTTGGCTGTCCAGTGTATTCTAAGCATTCTTTTTTAAAACCACATCTCTGAGGCCTCAAGAAATTGTTTGGCCTGCCTACCGATTGTCCGAGATTCACAGCCATATGTTAAAACTGGATGTATGTAGCAAGCAAGAATTCTTTTTCTAACTCTCAATGACAAGGATATATTGCACAAGATGTTCTTCATTTATAAAATGCAGTTTTTGCCTGTCCTATTTTGTTTCTTATCCCAGTTATGTATCTTCCATCTGATGTTATCCATGTGCCCAGATACTTAAATTTCTATACTTGTCCCAGAATAACAGAATAGAGTATATACTGTTAAACACAACATGAGTTACAAGTTAGGTTATCCTTAGGGCACTCAGATCAACCACAAAGGTGTTCAGGTTTCCTAATGAGAATCAGGGCAGTACCGCCACAGAAAACACTTTGGGGTTGGGCGTTCAAACCCCCGCCCCCCCCCCCCTATAGTTATTGAGGTTCAGGGAGGGGGTTGAGCCTCGTTCAATTGCGCAATAAATAATAATAACAACAACAACATGTCATGTTTGGTGCTAAACATGGGAACTCGACCCTCGCCTGTGGATGTAAATGTTGTCGTTTCGAATCTGAAGTGAGTCAGATCTTTTTTCAATAATGGCATTGACTTCCATGTAGACCCAGCCTTAAGTGGGTACCAGGTAAAGTCCTTGGAAGTAAAGGTGGACTGTGTGCTGTTGACTACCTACCCACAGAGTACCGATTGTTCTAGAAAAAAATAGATCTAGCAATATATGTCTAATATATGTTAAGCGTATTATTGAATGAATTATCAGTATGAAGACCAATAAATGAGCCATTAGAAAACAGAATAATAATAACAATAAAATACTCAGTCAAATATGTTGCTCTGGTAATTAAACTGTAGCATGGTCCACTAGCTCAGTTAGTTAAACCTGACTACGCGGTGACCGGGTGACGAACTCCTTGGGGTCCAGGTTCACGCCCTGGGGTAGGCAGGAAAGCCACATATCTCCCAGATTTACGTTATCTATCATGGAGCTTCTTGTGACCCAGACTTGAGTTAGAACATGGCCGGGCTCCAGCAGTTCATAAGACACGGCTAGAGGAAGAACGGATCACTTACGGGTACTACCCGTGTACCATGATGTTGATCCGTTATTGAAACCTCAAACGAGATGCACACCAGACACACCAGAAGACTTGTTAATCAACATAGAACTGGTACTATTAGCCATCGGACGTTGGGGTTTATATTGAGGGGAGGATCTGAGCACCTTAGGACATGTCCGGAGTGCAATGATGATAACCCAACTAACTGACTAATTGAAACCTCAAACGTCCAGATCCTATGCTTTCTGCCAACTGAATCGAAAAATTATCAATGGGTTCTTAGAAAGCATCTATAAAAGATGGAGAGCTCTGAAGAGAAACTGAAAAAAAAAAAAACTGTATAAAAAGAAGTGAAGGCCTTCACAAATTCAACAAAGAATGCTGATGCCAGACTTTGGCAGAGATCACGTGACGGGATGTTCCACGTGGAACCGTCTCTAGCAGACGTTTGAAAATGCCAAGCCACGCTAGCACCGTTGCCATTGGTTACCTCAAGTCACGTGTCCACCTACACGCCAGACTATTGGTGGAATCTGCGGCGTTCAAGAGGTCGAGGTCGAGGAGTTGGCAGTTTGTGGATCTGCTGGAGGCTATCATGTCGAATTTCTTGTAATCGTTGTTTCGTTGTAAACTGTGATCGATTGGTGGAGGATTATCGTTTGTCAAATTTTGTTGTTGCTTCAGTCACAAACGTTCGCTCTTTCCTGCCGCGTAAAGGTAAGGATAAGTTTATTGTATATCACCGCTAGGGACTTGTCGGAAGTCAAACTTTGGTGTGATGCGGCGGCTCTGTTTCAGCTGTTGTGTACTCAAGTTTAGTTTGTGAGTCTGACATTTAGGGATTTTTGTTTTCTTTCTGGCAGTACACTTCAGAACGTAGTGCTGGTACTTTTTATGCGTCCTGTTTTTCAGCACTGCTTTGATAGACACGTTATGTCTAGTACGCCGTGGCAAAAGGTACTTTTACTGTAATACTAGAGAAACTTTGTGGTGAGTATCGTTACAATTTGTAACACTTGCTGGCGAGTACAGGCCACACACCCCCCCCCCCCTCTGGAAAAAACCCTTTAGCTCTTCCGAATACTGAATACCGGTACCAAATTATTCACTGCGAAATATATATATATGTATGATACTGTGCATGTGTGATATTTGGGGGTGTGTGTGATTTCTTAACGCGGGCGGGTCTTGCTATAGTCACACTCGTCATCGCCATGGGCTGTGACGCTGTGAGTCCCATGCTTCCTCACAATATAACACTATCCTGTGCGTATGTGCGATGGGACAATAGGGTTATCTAAAGTGGGTGTGTATACACGTGTCTAAATACCGTATTCGTATTCATGGTCAAGTGTGAGTATATACACTGTTTATTTTTAATGTTTCATCGTTGAAGCCAGTACAATGGATGTACACACAAAACTCATGCCCATGCACAGTCAGTCCTGATGGATGAATAACCAGGACTTTTCCCTAGAGCTTTCATTCGGTGAACAAAGAAGAAGAAACGATGAATCCACTATTAGTTTAACAGGATATTGTTAATTAAATTACGGCTGCTGTTGATATAGATATAAGTATTAGAGAGTGAAGTGACAAAATCAGTAAGGACATTTGTTGAGCTACATGTGCCTGCAAAACATCCTGGCGTGCGTTTATTGAGGATGTGTGCTCACCCTGGGGATAGAGGACAGAAGAATGTTATTGACAGTTACCTTCTTTATAAGAAAACTTAAGGTCTACTTCAGAAAATATATCCAAAGCAAGTCATAAATGAGGGTAAATTTTGTTGCACATAAACTTTGGCAGTATTATATAGCACTATAACTTGGCACTTTTCAAAACAAAAGTATCTTCACAAAAAGAGAACTGAATACAAAAGTTAAGAGTACCAATAGTTTTGCAGCTGTGTTCTTAGAGGTTAAGTAGGATTGCACTAGGACAGTCTGGCAGCAAAGAAAATGTCATTTTACTGTTATGCATCTGACAGTGTGATCTTGTGTATGTTTTACATTACAGATCAGTCCCTTGACAAATCTTGACCTTTCATTTGTTCTAGAAATTTCTGCTTTGTTGCTTTCTTTATCTAACTCCATGATTCTGTTGACTGCATTGTTTTATTTGGTTAACTAAATGAAGGTAAACTGCCCACACAGAAATCTAGTTTTCAAGCATTAAAAGCCAGCCACCAGGAAGCTGTCGTGTAGTGTCTGTACTCTGGTCACTGGTAATAATTACAAGCGTCAACATTGTAAACATGAACTAGTGTTTAAGCATGTTTAAAGATAAGGGTCAGGTGCTTTTGTTTGTACTGAAAGAGATGCGAATACATCTTGACATTTGTTGTGTAGTCAACAACTGTGACACTTGACTAACAGAATTCTTTGTTGGGAGTGGATATTACTGCCCCAACTGCACAAAACACAAGCTCTGTGGCTGCAGTGACAGTCTCCAGGGGCTTTTTCTTAGTGGCAGTCGTTGAAGTGAACAACACCGTCCGAACCTGTAACCTTCAGGCCACCAGGCATGTTTCTTCACCACCAAACAATAGAGATCCCCTGCCGCTAGGAAGACATGTTAGTGCTGTTTGTGTGTTGTAAGGAACTTACTTGGAGATCCCCTGTTGCCAATGATTGTTTTCAAGTTGCGTTTAGTGTGGTTTTCTGGTGATTCTCAGGTGCAGCACCTATAACAACATGGTGAAGTTATGCATCTGTCTGTTGGGCATCTTCCTGCTTGCTGTCACCCATAGCAGTGCTATCCCCACCAGTGAGGAGAGGCAGCGAGTTTTTGATAAGGTACAGGAAACCTTTTGTATCACTGGATTTTGTTTAGTGACATATTGTGCATATTTACCATTATTCATGAATTATGGTGTTAATGGATTCATATTTAGTCAGACTAATGTTGGTAGATTATGTAATGGTAGTAATGTCGGTAGATTGTTTAGTGAGACAACTAGTCACATGGTGCAGTTGTTCTCTCGTTTCAAAATCAAAGTTCTCACCAGTCGGGTGAGTTTCATAGTCTTGTTGGTGGCTCTTGGTTTAATCTGCTAGGTGTGAGTCCAGGTGCTATATTTTAAAAAACACTTCACCCCCTTCCCGGATGATGAGGGCAGTAGATTAGCTTTGTCCAGAACACTCTTCAGACCAGCCTTCTCTTACTGTGACAGCCTCCTCATTTTAAGAGTGCCCCAGCCTCTATTGGTATGGGTAACCAGAGAGAGTGAATGAATAAATGAAACTGAATCTTCTTCTGCCTTCTAAACACCTGCCACCTCCCACTCCCAATAGGGCATAGGTCTTCAGCCAACTTAGGCCAAGTCATTCTATCCTTTGCTGTTGGTTCCATGCAGCTCTCCCGATATTTTAACTTCACTTTCTAGCTCCCTTCTGCGTGTTTTTTTTTTTATCTTTCTTTATTTCTATGCCCCTGTAGGTTCCATTGCAAAGATATTCCAGTTGTATTTTTATCAGGTTTACTTATGTTCTCTCCACCATCGTCTTTTCTTCAGTTCTTGGTCCACTGGAACTTGTTTAGTTCTCTCCCAAAGCTCTAAATTAGTGATTCTATCATACCATTTAATTCCGTCTGTTCTGCACAGGCACCAGTTAATGAATGTTTGTAGTTTATTAGTAATTGTTTTATTTGCTCTCCATGTTTTCGTTCCATACAACAGTACTGATTTGACATTAGAGTTTACAATTTTAAATTGAGAACTTCAAGTCCTCGGAGACAAACTCTGAAAATATGTGCAACTTTAATATTCTGCTTATGGAAAGAGTCTGTAGCAGCTGGTCGTGGCATTCACCAGAAACCACAATAATGAGAGTACCAGCAGAAGATTGAATAACCCAGTCCTTATATCTGTAGGAAGTGTGGCTAATTCACTGGACCGAATACTTCATGTCATGACTGTATGTATGTTCCTGAAATGCCAGTCATGACTAAATTGAGGATTAGATGGCTGCAGACTGTGGCCAAGTCTCCAGTCCGTGTATATCACCCTTGGGCCTCTAGAGAATCTGGGTCTTGACAAGTGCAGCGCTTCCTCTCTACTCCATTAAATGTGACCAGCCTTCCTAGAAGGGCTTGGTGGCAGTTAAAGTGGAGGAATCTTCTTGAAATGTTCAGTTCAACTTTTCCCGCTTCCCACTGACACATCATCATCATCATGTGCCCTGCCTGCTGGCGTAGGTGCTCATGCGTCTGATCACGATCCCTGGTTGGCTGGAACAGCTCTCTTGATGATCTCTCTCCATGCCATCGTTTTAGCCCATCCACCATCATCTCTCTTGGTCTGCCACTACCCCTTTTTTCACTGATCTTTTCGTTTGTTACGATGTTCTCCAATGTCTCTCTTCTCATTATGTGGCTAAAGAACAATGTTTGTCTCTTTCTTATTGGTGTATATAGAGATCTACTTTCATTAGCTTCTTTCAAGCAATCGTTGTTAGTTACTTTGGCCGTCCAAGGTATTCGTAACATTCGTCTCAGAAACCACATCTCTGTTGCTTTCAAATTCTTCTTAATTTGTTCAGTGACATTCCAAGATTTGCTGCCATACAGCAAAACACATTCTATGTAACATTTTAGCACCCTTTTTCTGACTTTAAATGAATGTGATTTATTGCATAAGATATTTTTCATTTTCTGAAAAGCAGCTTTTGCTTGACCTATTCTGCTTTTAATCTCTGTCATGCATTTTCCATCTGATGATATGATTGTTCCCAGATATTAAAAAATTATGGACTTTGTTAAGTCTTTTTCCCTTCAACAGAGATATCACAACGTGAAATTATCTTCTTCTTTGATATAACCATTACTTCCGTTTTCTTAATATTCAGTGAAAGTCCTTTCTTAGCAATCTCCATCCCCTCAATATCCAGCAGTTGTTGTAAATCAGTTGCATTTTCAGCTATCAAAACTGTATCGTCTGCATAACGTAAATTGTTTATATTGTATCCTCCAACTCTTACTCCTGCATTCTCTTTAATTTCCCCCAAAATTATTTCACTATATAGAGAGAAAAGGTCTGGGGATAAGACACATCCTTGTCTTACTCCTTGCTTTATCTGTTCAAGAGTACCCAATCTGTTTCCCACTTTAATTGCTGCAACTTTGTTCCAGTAAATGTTTTTAATTATTCTGAGATCTTTCCCGTCTACATTGATGTCTTCTAACATTTTTATCATCTCTTCATGTTTAACTTTGTCAAATGCTTTGGTATACCTTATAAAGCACAAATATAAGTCCTTTTGTTTGTCTATTGATCTTTCTATCGGTGTTCGTAATATATATATTGCATTACTTGTTCCTTATCTTCCATAAATCCATCCATACTGCTCTTCACTCATTTCCATTCTTATTTTTCTTTTTGTTCTTCTCATTATAATTCAAAGAGTAATTTGTGGACATGATTTATTAAGTTGATTGTACGAAATTCTTCACACTCAGTTGCTCCTGGTCTTTTGGGTAATGCAATTAAAAACAGATTTCATCAGATCACTTGGAATGTACCCAGTGTTATAAATAAATGTCATTCAACAGTTTAGTGAATATTTCTGCCACAAATCCCCCAGTACTTCTAATTCTTCTACCGAAATCTCATCTGGCCCAGTTGACTTTCCTTTCTTTATATGTTTAATAGCATCGCTAACTTCTTCCTTTGGTATAGACGGACCTTCTAAGTTTCTTTCTTCTGGTAATTCTGCTCTTTGTCTGTTATATAATTATCTTATGTATTAATTCCATCCAATTATTACATCATCTTCCTCCATCAAATCCCTTTTGCTTTTGATTTCAGACATCCTGTGTTTACTCATATTTTTCTTCCAGTTAGATCGTTAATTTGTTTATGTACACTGTTTGCATCTTTAACAGGACTGGGTTCAGTTGTATTGCATTGTTCATGAAGCCACTCTTCTTTTGCCTTCACACACTTATGCCTTATTTCTTTATTTATCTTGTCATATTCTTCTTTGTCATTCATACACTGCTTTCTGTCACCCATTAACTTTAAAATTTCTTTGTTCCTCCATTTCTGTTTAGCTATTTGTCTTCTTTTTGGTAAAATCTCCTGCTTGTGGTTACCGGGTGCAGTCTCGGGAAGTAGAGGCGTTCTATCTTTCCCAACTTTTGCATTAAAATCTCCCATTATTATTTTAATTTATTGTGATTTTTTTGTGGGCTATTGCCAGATTTAAATGTTTGTAAAATTTTTCTATTTCCTTTTCACTGCTAACTGATGTTTGGGCATACACTTGTATTATGTTTTTTTTTTATTGGTTTACCTTTGATTTTAACCATAATAACCTATCTGATATACGCCAGTAACCCACAATTGCTTTTTATCTAAAAGTATCCCCACCCCCTTTTTCATGTTTCTCACTTCCCGAGTATATTATTGTGTACTTATCTTTTCTGATCTTTCCGGCACCCTTCTATCTCCTTTCACTCATTCCTGGGATGTTTATCTTCATACTACTTTCCATTTTTTTAATAACATTTTCTGTCTTTCCTTATTCCACGTTGCTAGTTTGACACTTTTAATTTTCGTAACTTTTTTAAAATTGCCATCAGTAACCTGATGACGTTCTGGTGTCACCTGTGACTCGTGACTGTCCCTACCGGACAAGGCTGTCCTTAGACTTCCATTAACATCGCTCTTGTGATTCGGTCACTGTTTTCTCGTGAGATTTCTTGGGGAAATAATGTTGGGGTTTCCCGTTGCCTTCCACATCCACATGGGGTATTTTAACCGGCACCTTTGACAGTAATTTCCGACTGTCAGGACAAGTGGGTTTCCTTCTCTGCCCAGCTGCAACGTGATTCACTTATTTCTGTGGATACTTGGTCCCCATATCTACGTTAGCCACACCTTGGTGTTTCCCACCCTCCACCACTTGGAGGTGCTGTTTGGGATTTTCCCTTTCACCAAATTTGAGACCAGGATAGTATTTCTAGGTACCTTCTGACACAGTCAGTTAATTCAGTTGCAGAAGTTGTGTTGTTTTATATAGTAAGGTTAACGCTAGTGTATTATATGGTAATGTTGGTCGATTATTTAGTGATGCAAATGTTGTATTATGTAGTAAGGTTAACGTTGGTGTATTTATTTAGTAAGGTTAACGTTTGTGTATTTATATAGTTAGGTTAACGTTGGAGTATTATATAGTAAGATTTGGCAGATTATTAGTGATGCAAATGTTGTGCTGTATTATATAGTAAGGTTAATGTTGGTGTATAATATAGATATATTTTCAGATTATTTATTGATGCATATGTTGTGTTGCTTTTTAAATATAGTAAGGTTAACGTTGGTGTATTATATAGTAAGATTTGGTAGATTATTTATTGATGCAAATATTTTGTTATATTATAAAGTAAGATTTGATGGATTATCAAGTGATGCAAATGTTGTGTTGTATTATATAGTAAGATTTGATGGATTATCAAGTGATGCAAATGTTTTTTTTTTTGTATTATAAAGTAAGATTTGATGGATTATCAAGTGATGCAAATGTTGTGTTGTATTATATAGTAAGATTTGATGGATTATCAAGTGATGCAAATGTTTTTTTTTTGTATTATAAAGTAAGATTTGATGGATTATCAAGTGATGCAAATGTTGTGTTGTATTATATAGTAAGATTTGATGGATTATCAAGTGATGGAAATGTTTTGTTGTATTATATAGTAAGATTTGACGGATTATCAAGTGATGCAAATGGTCGTGGATTATCTAGAGAAGCTAATATTATACAGATTTTTATGGAATAGGTATGTAGTAAGAATATTGATGTGTCCACAAAGTGAATTAGTCTTGGCAAATAAATCTGTTTACATTATTCTTCACGAATGTTGCATGCATCAGGTTTTGAACAGTTGTAATCATATCTCTTGACTGCTGTGGCAACTTGAGTAGGGAATCAAGATTAAAACAGCCAGAAAATTTATGGATTAAACACATCTGACCTGACTTCCCCTTTGGTTTTAATGATTTTATTTTATTCAAGAACTGACATCACATCATTTGGGGCATTCCCATAAGCGCTCCCACCCCATCTTCAGCAGCCAGTGAAGAGTTCTGATACTAATGGTGCCAGTAACATTCTGATTACACATTACACGTCTGTCTTGTCTTTTTTCTGAGACTTGAGCATCTGCCAGAACTTCTCGTCACTCCCTCCTGCATTAGTCTCACCAGACTGGTGATCCATCTGCTCCTTCGAACTGTGCACTCTCTCCCACAGGGCACTAACCATGTCTGATAATGCATCAGTATTCCACCAAGCTGTGCAGAGCCAGCCAGCCTGTCCACCTGTTAATTTCCCAACACACCGGCGTTCTCTGATTTAAAAAAAATCCAGACAATACTCCTCACCCATGTCCTCCGCAGCGAAGCATGCCACTCTTCACGAAGCATGCCTGTCCTGATTTTCCTCAGCATGCTTTCTGAGCCATGTTGAAAATGAATGCACATGGTATTATTTTGCTAGAGAGGCAGAAGGAAATAGATAACCGCCACAGAGCTGATATTTTCATAGAACAGTAGGGGAAAACGTAAGTTGTCACATTCTTGTATTAAGAGAGATGTAAAATAAACAATTTGTTTGCTGACCTCTGCAGCCTCTCAGCGACGAGGATCATGACAACGGAGAGCACAACCCAGATTATGATCACGAAGCTTTCCTTGGTGAAGAACAAGCCAAGAAGTTTGACCAGCTGACACCAGAGGAGAGCAAGTCTAGATTGGCGTATGTGTGTTTGATCTTGTATTGCTGTTAAATATGCTTTGCTGGCCATTTGTGGAAGTCACACAAAATGCAGGCTGTATATGTGACCAAAGGGAAACATGTCACATTAAGGTGCCGGCAAGTGACTCCATCATATGGCATTATGCCAGCAAGCGACATTCTTCACATGGCATTAATGTGCCGACAGGACTTCCATCAAACGGCATTAATGTGCTGGCAGGACTTCCATCAAATGGTCAAAATGTGCCAGCAGGACTTCCATCAAATGGCCACAATGTGCCAGCAGGACTTCCATCAAATGGCAATAATGTGCCGGCAGGACTTCCATCAAATGGCATTAATGTGCCGGCAGGACTTCCATCAAATGGCATTAATGTGCCGGCAGGACTTCCATCGAATGGCATTAATATACTGGCATACGACTTTCATCAAATGTCATTAATATACTGGCTTATGTCTTCCATATAGCATTAATATACTGGCATATGACTTCCATCAAATGGCATTAATATGCTGCCAAGTGACTTCCATCAAATGGCATTAATATGCTGCCAAGTGACTTCCATCAAATGGCATTAATATGCTGCCAAGTGACTTCCATCAAATGGCATTAATATGCTTTATAACACTTGTTGAAGCTGTTACGCTGAAAAGCACAAAACAGCACTTCTGGTTTGTGCCACAGCCCCTAAGAATCACTTTCCTGACTTGCTATAGAGGCTGTGTAGGAGGAGCTAGGTTAACAGCAGTGCTTGTTTTTTCCTTTGGCAACTGTTTAGAATGTCAGTAGCGAGCATACTAGCTGATCATAGCATTTAGGTAGGGTTTAGAATGTCAGAGAAGATGGAAATGGCTTGGCCACATTATGAGAATGACTTCTGATATACCTGCCAAAACAGCTCTCACATGGACATCAGAGGGAAAGAGAAAACAGGGGCGCCCAAAAACAACATGGAGACGAACGATGGAAAGTGACCTGAGTGCGGCATCTCTGACATGGAAAACTGCACTGAAGATTGCACAGGACAGGAAAGCATGGAAGTCCTCTCTGAAGCCTCATGTGCCACTAGGCATAACGAGAACTGATGATGATGATTAGAATGTCAGTAGCCAGCATAGTTGCTGAACATAACATTAAGGTAGGGTTTCCTTGCCAAAGTAGCTTTATTAGTAGAAATTAGGACATCAGAATTTCCTATGAGTTACAGTGGTAACTGGAGGCCAGGTCTTGGGGTCACTAAACATGTTTTAAAGCTCAGAGAAATGTAACTCAAATCAATTCTCTGCCCCATCCATATTTATTTATTTCTCCCATTTTAGTTTATGCAGTTAAATATTGTTTGGGTTCATAAGTGGAATTGTTTCGATTTTTATTTGTGAATAATTAGTAAAAAAAAATAAAATAAATTGGGGGGGGGGGGGATATTTCCCATTGGAAAACATGAAATTCCGTTCGTTGGGTGATGTAGTCAACATCATGCTGGCTGCTTTTACTTTCCAGGACTTTGGATGGTACCATTTAAGGTGGGTTGACTTGGGAGCCAAGGTCATTTTTGAAAAATAAATTCCGACTTGATGCAGATTTAAATCTTTACAGATTACAAGCCCCTTAAAAAACATTCCAGTTGTCTGAGATTGTTGTGTCTGTATTAATCCCTTAGTGCACTTATTACAAAAACAAACTATGAATTATTGATGAGGCAAATTTTTTTGCATTTCACATGCTTATAATGCATTTTTTATTGTTGATATTTAAGATCAACCAGATAAGACAATTATAAATGAAACAGTGCCTGAAAAGCAGAGTGCTAGAATTAGTTTGCAAATTTTCTTATAGAATTTCTTGCAAATGACTAATGTCACCTAGTGGTCACTGGCCTGTCACATTTGTTATTCTTGTTGTTTTTATAAGTGTGTAATTTCCATATTTTAACATAAGCAATCTATTACCCACAGAATTATTGTGGACAAAATTGACCGTGACGGAGATGGTGAGGTCACACAACAGGAACTGCAGGGCTGGATACAGTATGTGCAGCGCAGGTACATCGTCTCCGACACTGAACGCACCTGGCAGGATCATGATGTTGACAGTGATGGGACGCTCACCTGGGAGAAATATCAGAAACGAACATTTGGCTACAGCGATGGTAACTTTTGTTTTAGCAATGCCACTCTTTGTTGTGATTCTTCTGATACTAGCTGCTGTGTGGTGCTGGTAATTGTGTGTGTCCTCGGCTTTCTATCTCAAGTGCTGCCAGTCATTTCTGATACTAGCTACTGTGTGGTGCTAGTAATTGTGTTTGTCCTCGGCTTTCTATCTCAAGTGCTGCCAGTCATTTCTGATACTAGCTATTGTGTGATGCTGTTAATTGTGTTTGTTGTTGGCTTTCTGTCTCAAGTGCTGCCAGTCATTTCTGATACTGATGCTCTTCCATGTCATAATACTGCACTGACCATGCAGCCTTTCTCTTGGTTTCTTCTGTCATTCTTCTCCTCCAAATTCTTTTTGGTGTCAGTGAATATATATCATGAAACTGTTGGCACTACACTTGCACAACAAACCTGGTGTATGTTTGTGTTACTGCATCCTAGAGCTTGATATAATGGTAGTGGCAGTAAGTACTGGATCAGACCTACATGATAAGGTCATCAGCATCAAACAACAATGTTCCCAGTACAAGTTCCAAGACCCATTTTGGGAGGGAAAGGAATGGATCCACTGCTGCTTGTCAGAAGTGTTTGAAAAAAAATGATTGCAAATCTCTATGTTGTATGTGTGGAGCAGCCTCCACCAGGAATTTGTATGTTTATGGTATTGAAATGTCTCCATTGTTGTATGTGCGGACTTGACATGTTTCTGTACAATGATGGGTGTGGGAATCTTCTTAATTTGGTCTGTTGTTTGTGTGTGCATCCAAGAATGTGTTTAAATAACCATACAAATGCTTTTGATAATTGTCTGTTATCAGAACCTGTAGAAGGCTCTCCCACCTTTGGCTACAAGAAAATGATTGACAGAGACAGGAGAAGGTGGGAATATGCAGATGAAGACAAGGATGGAAAACTGACCAAGGAAGAATTTACGACATTCCTTCACCCAGAAGAAACCGAGCGCATGAGGTTCATCATTGTGGAGGTATTGTTTCTGTTTATACGTAGAACATTGTGAAGAGTGTCATTGGCAGAGTAATAGAACACTGAAGGGTGTCATTGGCAGAGTAGTAGAACACTGTGAAGGGTGTTATAAGCAGAGCATTAGAACACTGAAGAGTGTCATTGGCAGAGTAGTAGAACACTGAAGGGTGTCATTGGCAGAGTAATAGAACACTGAAGGGTGTCATTGGCAGAGTAATAGAACACTGTGAAGGGTGTCATTGGCAGAGTAGTAGAACACTGAAGGGTGTCATTGGCAGAGTAGTAGAACACTGTGAATGGTGTTATAAGCAGAGCAATAGAACACTGAAGGGTGTCATTGGCAGAGTAGTAGAACACTGTGAAGGGTGTCATTGGCAGAGTAATAGAACACTGAAGGGTGTCATTGGCAGAGTAGTAGAACACTGTGAAGGGTGTCATTGGCAGAGTAGTAGAACATTGTGAAGGGTGTCATTGGCAGAGTAATAGAACACTGAAGGGTGTCATTGGCAGAGTAATAGAACACTGAAGGGTGTCATTGGCAGAGTAATAGAACACTGAAGGGTGTCATTGGCAGAGTAGTAGAACACTGTGAAGGGTGTCATTGGCAGAGTAGTAGAACATTGTGAAGGGTGTCATTGGCAGAGTAATAGAACACTGAAGGGTGTCATTGGCAGAGTAATAGAACACTGTGAAGGGTGTCATTGGCAGAGTAGTAGAACACTGAAGGGTGTCATTGGCAGAGTAGTAGAACACTGTGAATGGTGTTATAAGCAGAGCAATAGAACACTGAAGGGTGTCATTGGCAGAGTAGTAGAACACTGTGAAGGGTGTCATTGGCAGAGTAATAGAACACTGAAGGGTGTCATTGGCAGAGTAGTAGAACACTGTGAAGGGTGTCATTGGCAGAGTAGTAGAACACTGAAGGGTGTCATTGGCAGAGTAGTAGAACACTGTGAAGGGTGTCATTGGCAGAGTAATAGAACACTGAAGGGTGTCATTGGCAGAGTAGTAGAACACTGTGAAGGGTGTTATAAGCAGAGCAATAGAACACTGAAGGGTGTCATTGGCAGAGCAATAGAACACTGAAGGGTGTCATTGGCAGAGTAATAGAACATTGTGAAGAGTGTCATTGGCAGAGTAGTAGAACACTGTGAAGGGTGTTATAAGCAGAGCAATAGAACACTGAAGGGTGTCATTGGCAGAGTAATAGAACATTGTGAAGGGTGTCATTGGCAGAGTAGTAGAACACTGAAGGGTGTCATTGGCAGAGTAGTAGAACACTGAAGGGTGTCATTGGCAGAGTAGTAGAACACTGTGAAGGGTGTCATTGGCAGAGTAGTAGAACACTGTGAAGGGTGTTATAAGCAGAGCAATAGAACACTGAAGGGTGTCATTGGCAGAGTAGTAGAACACTGTGAAGGGTGTTATAAGCAGAGCAATAGAACACTGAAGGGTGTCATTGGCAGAGTAGTAGAACACTGTGAAGGGTGTCATTGGCAGAGTAGTAGAACACTGAAGGGTGTTATATAAGCAGAGCATTAGAACACTGAAGGGTATTATAAGCAGAGCAATAGAACACTGTGAAGGGTGTTATAAGCAGAGCAATAGAACACTGAAGGGTGTCATTGGCAGAGTAATAGAACACTGAAGGGTGTCATTGGCAGAGTAGTAGAACACTGAAGGGTGTCATTGGCAGAGTAGTAGAACACTGTGAAGGGTGTCATTGGCAGAGTAGTAGAACACTGTGAAGGGTGTTATAAGCAGAGCAATAGAACACTGAAGGGTGTCATTGGCAGAGTAGTAGAACACTGTGAAGGGTGTTATAAGCAGAGCAATAGAACACTGAAGGGTGTCATTGGCAGAGTAGTAGAACATTGTGCAGGGTGTCATTGGCAGAGTAGTAGAACATTGTGAAGGGTGTCATTGGCAGAGTAGTAGAACACTGTGAAGGGTGTCATTGGCAGAGTAGTAGAACACTGAAGGGTGTTATATAAGCAGAGCATTAGAACACTGAAGGGTGTTATAAGCAGAGCAATAGAACACTGTGAAGGGTGTTATAAGCAGAGCAATAGAACACTGAAGGGTGTCATTGGCAGAGTAATAGAACACTGAAGGGTGTCATTGGCAGAGTAGTAGAACACTGAAGGGTGTCATTGGCAGAGTAGTAGAACACTGTGAAGGGTGTTATAAGCAGAGCAATAGAACACTGAAGGGTGTCATTGGCAGAGTAATAAAACACTGAAGAGTGTCATTAGCAGAGTAATAGAACTCTGGGAAAAGGTGTCATTAGCAGAGTAATAGAACACTGGGAAAAGGTGTCATTAGCAGAGTAATAGAACATTGTAAAGTGTATCATTAGCAGAGCAATAGAAAATTGTGAAGCATGTCATTAACAGAGAAATAGAACATTGTAAAGAGTGTCATAGCAAAGTAATAGAACATTGTGAAGAGTATCATTAGCAGAGTAATAGAACACTCTGAAGGGTGTCATTAGCAGAGTAATAGAACATTGTAAAGAGTGTCATTAGCAGAGTAATAGAACATTGTGAAGTGTGTCATTAGCAGAGTAATAGAACATTGTGAAGTGTGTCATTAGCAGAGTAATAGAACATGGTAAAGAGTATAATTAGCAGAGTAATAGAACATTGTGAAGTGTATCATTAGCAGAGTAATAGAACATTGTGAAGTGTATCATTAGCAGAGTAATAGAACATTGTGAAGCATGTCATTAACAGAGTAATAGAACATTGTAAAGTGTATCATTAGCAGAGTAATAGAACATTGTGAAGTGTATCATTAGCACAGTAATAGAACATTGTTTAGCATGTCATTAACAGAGTAATAGAACATTGTGCAGTGTTATTCGTCTACTAGTGAATTGGTATTAGATGATTTTTGTGCAAAGTTTCTGGCTGGTTTGATGCATTCTTCTTCTTCTTCTTTGCGTTGGGTTTCGTATGCTCAGATCAGACCATCAGGTGGGTTGCCTCTATGAATTCACATGTCAGCTGCAGGTTCTTCATGGCTCCCCATAGCTTGCTGTGCACTTTTTGCTCTTGAGGCCAGATTTCTCTTCATTGTTGTAAGTGTAGTGGGCAGACCTACAGAATGTGCTCGAATGTTTGTGGTCTTGTCTGACAGGCAAACTGAGGGGACTGTATATTCCTTATTTTATGCTTATGATAGTTGAACTTGCAGTGTCCTGTTCTTACATGGAAAATTGTATTTTGTTTTCTGCTGAGTCTGTTGGGGTCTTGTGGATGTTTATTGTTGGTTTGTTCTCTCCACAATTCCTTGTATTTTCTTTTGATAAGTGATTTGATTTCCAGTAATAGCAGTGAATAGGTCTTATTTCTCCTTTGTTCCATTCTTAGCAAGTATGCTCTGCTATAAAGTTTGTTGAGAGTTTCCCGGAGGCACATGACTTTTTCACTGGAGTTCCATCTTGATTCCTAACAACGTATGAACATGCCATTCTGGTTTTTCCTGCCCCTTCCAGTTATCCATCAGTGTACAATTAAACCATTTGGATTTTGGATGTTTGCTTTCAATATTATGTCACTTTCTTCAGTCTTTCTGTCTATGCCTCAGATTGTTGTTATGTGATTGTATAATTGGGTTAAAGGCTTATGTTGTAGGCCTGGATCATTTCCCGCCGTTGTTGGGTTTTTAGAGAGGGAGGATGTCACTGTTTTCAATACAGAAGAGATTTAATAGATGGTGGAAACTTTGTCTTTTTCAGTCAGTTGTTTAGGGGGATGAGTGGTCTCGAGGCATAGCGTTTACCTCGAGTGCTGAAAGTCCTGAGTTCAGGCACCTGTCAAGGCTGTGATTTTTTTCACATGGACTTATAGTAAATTTCCCCTGGTCTCTGGGTAGTAAGGTCGGACGCCCATGTGTAAAAAATAATCCCTTGGCCGTTTTTTAAAAGAAAAGTAGCCTATCGCCGCTGCCTGGCCAAAATTTAGAGTTAAAAGTCTACCCAAAGTGTTTCAGGATCCTCGCTGGTGCTGTGGAGTTTGTGCACTGAGGGTTACTACCCCTGTGTCATGATATTGGTCTGATGTATAAACCAAACCAGTCGGTTGTTTGTTAAGCTGTTTGCTATTCTGTGCATGGGGTTGTTGTTCATCCGTTAAAATTCTTCTGCTAGTATAAGCACCTTCTCTTCCCTATGGTGGCTTTAGCTCTGGAGGCCAGAAGTTGCCTTCAGCTCATGGATTGGTATACTTCTCATGTCTCCATTGATGATTCTGAGACCGATGTTCTGTATTTTGTCCAGTTTGTTTAGATGTAATTTTGCTGCAGTGGAGTATGCTCCCATGCCATACTCAAGGTTTGGTCATATGTATCCTGTGTATACTTGTCACACAGTGTTAGCATCTGCACCCTGGTTTGTCCTGGTACGTTTCTTCATAAGTCTGAGCCAGAGGGTGGCTTTCTTTTTGACGTCTTCAGTCCTGGATTGCTAACTGACATCAGCTGTCAGATACTAACTGGATTGCTAGCAACTGACATGACAATATCCCTTAGTCTGTTCCTCAACTTAAGTTGACATTTGCACCCTGCAGACTGTTTAAAAAAAAAGGGGGACCTCACCACCTAGGTGGAGCCAACCTAAAGTAGGTACCGTATCCTGGGAATTAAAGGCAGCAGGTGCGATTTGGACCTCATCAGCCATCAAGTGTTGATTGTTCTATAACAAGATAAGTCTAACATTACATGCCTGAGCCACCAGCTGCAGGACCAGGTAGTTTACTGCGAGTTTTGTTGTTAAACCCATGGACAGCAGAGCAGTGAAACACCCAGTGACTTCTGGAGATCATACCCAGACCACTGTCTCGGCAGACAAGTGTGTGGCGGTTTCCACAACAGTCTCATGTCTAACAATGTAGGAAGGGAAGCTAGAATACTTTATTGTCACAAATGATCATGTTTTTATCCACGTTGTTGTCTCGGTAGACAAGTGTGTGGCAGTTTCCACAACAGTCACATGTCTAACCCTGTAGGGAGGGAAGCTAGAATACTTTATTGCCACAAATGATCATGTTTCTATTCATGTTGTTGCACAGGAGACTGTGGAGGATATAGATAAAGATGGAGATGGTTTCATTAGCTTGGAGGAATACATCAGTAAGGCTGTTTGACATTTCTTTGTGTGTCCTTATCTATCCTTGTTGTTGTTGCTGCTTCTGTAGACAGACTAGGGGAGATGTTGGGGAGATGGAGGCCCAGGATTGACAGATAAAGGGGAAATGTTGGGGAGCTTGATGCCCAAGACTGACAGACAAGGGGGGGGGGGGGGTGGATGTTGGGGAGCTTGATGCCCAAGACTGACATACAAGGGGAGATGTTGGGGAGCTTGATGCTCAAGACTGACAGACAAGGGGAGATGTTGGGGAGCTTGATGCCCAAGACTGACAGACAAGGGGAGATGTTGGGGAGCTTGATGCTTATGACTGACAGGCAAGGGGAGATGGGGAGCTGGAGGCCCAAGACTGACAGACAAGGGGGGTGGGGTGGATATTGGGGAGGTGGAGGACTGACAGACAAGGGGAGATGTTGGGGAGTTGGAGGCCCAGAGCTGACAGACAAGGAAAGATGTTGGGGAGCTGGAGGCCCAGGACTGACAGACAGGGGGGGGGGGGGATGTTGGAGAGGTGGAGGCCCAGGACTGACAGACAAGTGGGGGGGGGGGGGGTGTTGGAGAGGTGGAGGCCCAGGACTGACAGACAAGGGGGGATTTTAGGGAGGTTGAGGACTGACAGACAAGGGGGGGGGGATGTTGGAGAGGTGGAGGCCCAGGACTGACAGACAAAGAGGGGGGGGGGATGTTGGAGAGGTGGAGGCCCAGGACTGACAGACAAGGGGGGGGGGATGTTGGAGAGGTGGAGGCCCAGGACTGACACACAAGGGGGGGGGGGATGTTGGAGAGGTGGAGGCCCAGGACTGACAGACAAGGGGGGGGGGGATGTTGGAGAGGTGGAGGCCCAGGACTGACAGACAAGGGGGGGGGGATGTTGGAGAGGTGGAGGCCCAGGACTGACACAAGGGGGGATGTTGGGGAGGTGGAGGAATGACAGACAAGGATAGAATTGTTGGGAAGCTGAAGGCCCAGGACTGACAGACAAGGGGAGATGTTGGGGAGCTGGAGGGCGAGGACAGACAGGCAAGGAGTAAATGTTAGGAGGATGTAATAGACATATAAACAAGTTGTTGGATTATCTAGCGCATTTACTCTCAACCTTCCTAATGTTGCACCCTCGTGTTATGGCAACCCCAAACCATACAGTTATTTTTGTTGCTACTACATAACTTCAGTGAATATGTGTTTTCTGATGGTCTTTGGCAACCACAGTTTGAGAACCACTGATCTAGCGTATTCTGAAAGGGAAATGACCAGGTTCAGAAATCATACTGTGCCAGTGTGATGTTATCATAGCTTTGTCTTGTATATCCTGCTGTGCCAGTGTCATGATATCATAGCTTTGTCTTGTATATCCTGCTGTGCCAGTGTCATGTTATCATAGCTTTGTCTTGTATATCCTGCTGTGCCAGTGTCATGATATCATAGCTTTGTCTTGTATATCCTGCTGTGCCTGTGTCATATCATAGCTTTGTCTTGTATATCCTGCTGTGCCAGTTTGATGTTATCATAGCTTTGTCTTGTATATCCTGCTGTGCTAGTGTCATGATATCGTAGCTTTGTCTTGTATATCCTGCTGTACTTGTGTCATGTTTTCATAGCTTTGTCTTGTATATCCTGCTGTGCCAGTGTCATGTTATCATAGCTATGTTTTGTATATCCTTCTGTGCCAGTGTCATGTTATCATTGCTATGTCTTATATATCTTGCTGTGCCAGTGTCATGTTATCACTGCTATGTCTTGTATATCCTGCTGTGTCAGTGTCATGTTATCATAGCTATGTCTTGTATATCCTGCTGTGCCAGTGTCATGTTATAGCTATGTAGCTTAGTGGCTGATAAAGGGGTTGCTGTCTGTGTTTGACTCTTTGGTTTCTGTGTCTGACACAAGCTTTCTATGTCTTGCTCTGTTAGCTGACTTGTGGCCTAGAAGTGATGAAGATGCAGCCAAGGATGAACCTGAGTGGGTCAAGTCTGAGCGTGAACAGTTCCTCAGTTTTCGTGATAAAAACAAGGATGGCAAAATGGACAAGACTGAAGTCATGGATTGGATTATCCCCCCTGACTATGATCATTCTGTGGCAGAAGCTAAGCACCTCATTTTTGAGGCTGATGTCAATAAGGTAGGATTATCATGTCTGTGTGTCTTAGAGAGAGAGAGAGAGGTTGATGTCAATAAGGTAGGATTATCATGTCTGTGTGTCTGAGAGAGAGAGAGAGAGAGAGAGAGGTTGATGTCAATAAGGTAGGATTATCATGTCTGTGTGTCTGAGAGAGAGAGAGAGAGAGGTTGATGTCAATAAGGTAGGATTATCATGTCTGTGTGTCTGAGAGAGAGAGAGAGAGATTGATGTCAATAAAGTAGGATTATCATATCTGTGTGTCTGAGAGAGAGAGAGGTTGATGTCAATAAGATAGGATTATCATGTCTGTTTGTGTGTCTGCGAGAGAGAGAGAGGTTGATGTTAATATTGTAGGTTTATGCTGTGTATGAGGTTTGATGCCAGTAGTGATAATGATGGGGCACTATCGAATCCCACAGAAAATTATCAACTTAGTAAAGGCAACATATAAAGACATGAAATGTCGAGTTCTTCATGAGGGAAAGCTAACAGATGCATTTGAAATAAAAACAGGTGTGCGACAGGGATGTCTTTTGTCGCCTCTCTTATTTTTACTGGCTATAGACTGGACTATTAAAACAGTAACTGCTGACACCAAGAATGGAATTCAGTGGACCCCTACAAAACAGCTTGATGATCTGGACTTCGCTGATGATATTGCCCTTTTGTCCCATTCACGAAATATTTAGCTGCATTGTTCTGAAGAGATACAATTGACAAACAGCCTATAGCTGAACAGGCAGGCTTTCCCCTAATAGATGCTACACTGAGCAGATAGCCACATTGTGTATAAAAGCAGGAGGCATTCTGTGAACTGACCACTTGATATTGGATTTGTGGAAACAGCCTGTTTCAGCATAGATAAATTAGAAGTCGGTCAGACAATATAGAATATTGACTTAGCTGACTGCCGACTGGCACACTATAGTCAGGAGGTTGTACACTACATCTTCCAGCTGAAGAAACCAGAGATCCAGAAAGCGGAAGATGCTGCAAAATGAGCTCTCCTGTTTTGACAGTACAGTAGAACCTCACTTAACGAGCACCTCTCATAACAAGTAATTCACATTAAGAGCAAAACAGATTGTAAAAGAATTGCTTGCTAGAAATGAAACATCAAATCATTGATAAGCGAGAATGAGTTGTAAGCGTGGCTGATCTAGCACGCACATACAATAGGTTTACATCAACAATTTGCACTATCCTCAAGAACAAGGACAAGATTAAGGAGATAGATGCTTCACAGGGAGTGACAAGAATATCTGCACAACGGTTACATATTCTTGACGATGTTGAAAGGTTGCTTCTCATATGGATAAATTAAAAGCAATTGCAAGGTGACACTTAACACCTCATGATGCTGCTACATAATGCGTGTGTGTTGTGTTTATGATACCAGAGGATATTTATTCAGTGTTGTGTTTATGATACCGGAGGATATTGATTCAGTGTTGTGTTTATGATACCAGAGGATATTGATTCAGTGTTGTGTTTATGATACCAGAGGATATTGATTCAGTGTTGTGTTTATGATACCAGAGGATATTGATTCAGTGTTGTGTTTATGATACCAGAGGATACTGATTCAGTGTTGTGTTTATGGTACCAGAGGATACTGATTCAGTGTTGTGTTTATGATACCAGAGGATATTGATTCAGTTTTGTGTTTATGATACCAGAGGATATTGATTCAGTGTTGTCTTTAGGATACCAGAGAATATTGATTCAGTGCTGTGTTTATGATACCAGAGGATATTGATTCAATGTTGTGTTTAGGATACCAGAGGATATTGATTCAGTGTTGTGTTTAGGATACCAGAGGATACTGATTCAGTGTTGTGTTTATGGTACCAGAGGATATTGATTCAGTGTTGTGTTTATGATACCAGAGGATATTGATTCAGTGTTGTGTTTAGGATACCAGAGGATATTGATTCAGTGTTGTGTTTATGGTACCAGAGGATATTGATTCAGTGTTGTGTTTATGGTACCAGAGGATATTGATTCAGTGTTGTGTTTATGGTACCAGAGGATATTGATTCAGTGTTGTGTTTATGATACCAGAGGATATTGATTCAGTGTTGTGTTTATGGTACCTGAGGATATTGATTCAGTGTTGTGTTTATGATACCAGAGGATATTGATTCAGTGTTGTGTTTCTGATACCAGAGGATATTGATTCAGTGTTGTATTTATGATACTAGAGGATATTGATTCAGTGTTGTGTTTATGATACCAGAGGATATTGATTCAGTGTTGTGTTTATGATACCAGAGGATATTGATTCAGTGTTGTATTTATGATACCAGAGGATATTGATTCAGTGTTGTGTTTATGATACCAGAGGATATTGATTCAGTGTTGTGTTTATGGTACCAGATGATAACCCATGATAGTCCATGCCTTAAATTATTTTAGCCTTTTTGTTTTTGGATTTAAAAAAAAATCTATAAATAGACTTTTATAAAGTGCAAAACATCTTGTGCAAAATATCCTTGTCATTGAGAGTTAGAAAAAGAATTCTTGCTTGCTACATACATCCAGTTTTAACATAGGGCTGTGAATCCTGGACAATCGGTAGGCAGGCCAAACAATTTCTTGAGGCCTCAGAGATGTGGTTTTACAAAAGAATGCTTAGAATACCTTGGACAGCCAAAAGGAGCAACCAAGAGGTTTTGAAAGAGGCGGGAGCCCGAAGACAACTTATCACAGACATGAGAAGGAGACAGTCATCATTTTTCGGCTATGTTATGAGAAGAGGGAAAATAAAACATTTTGTCACTACTGGAAAGATCTGTGGAAGGAGGGATAGAGGAAGACAACGAGAGAAGATGCTTGACAGTCTTGTTGCATGGCATGGTGGTGTGTCGGCACACGAACTGATACATGCTGCAGGAAATCGCAGATTGTGGAGAGGCATGATCGCCTACCCCAGTCTGCAAGGCACCTGATGATGATAGTAGACTGCCTGTGATTTTGGAGATGAAAAAAATAGCCATCAGACCTAAAAAGTTGGCCACCATTGCTATATAATTATGTTGTGTTTCTCATTTATGTGCTACAAAACATGTGATGGATGTGGACCTTGTTTTGCAGGATGGCAAGCTGAGCAAGGAGGAGATTCTAGACAAGTTTGACCTGTTTGTGGGCAGCCAAGCAACAGATTTTGGTGAAGCTTTGACCAAACACGATGAGTTTTAATGGTGTGTAGTTAACTAGCAATATTTTGGGGATCGCATGTCCGCAGTGTTTACTCAACAGGTAAAGTCATTTTTCATACACTTTCCGACTGTTTAGTCAACAAATAGTACACATGCCCACTGGTTTTTATGTGTGTGTTTTGACGTCATAAAGGTCATGGATCTGTACCGGGAGTGCAAGATCCCTGGGAATTGTTGCTGATGCTATGGAGTTAGTGCTTTTTGTGGCATGCTTGGCAGGCATCTGGCTGTTCTGCGGAGAGAGACAGAGCCATATAAGTTAAAACCCTGTGCAGTCAGGTCGACCTTTAACCTTTTACTGTTTGGTCCAAAAATAATGAATTTTATTGATTACACATCCCCACTGCCTAGCCAAAGGATAATGTTTTTTGATTAGATATCCCTTAGCTTAGTCAACAGATAATTTACTGATCAGATATCGTCACTATTTAGTCAACAGATAATTCACTGATCGGATATCATCACTGCTTAGTCAACTGATAATTCACTGATTAGATATTCACATTTAGTCACAGATAATTTACTGGTCAGATATCCACATTTAGTCAACAGATAATTCACTGATCAGATATCCACATTAAGTCAACAGATAATTTACTGGTCAGATATCCACATTTAGTCAACAGACTAAGTTTGTCTAAATACAGGTCTAAAATGTTTATTTGACAAACATTGAGTTTCACAGATCACCTATCTCCACTGTTAGAATTTAATTTAAAAAAGTGAATGGATCACATATCTCCACTGTTTAATCTGCCAATAATACATTTTATTGGTTATGTATCTCTACTGTTAATCAACAAATAATGAGTTTAATTGATCATATATCTCTACTGTTAATCAACAAATAATGAGTTTAATTGATCACATATCTTTGCTGTTAATCAACAAACAATGAGTTTAATTGATCATATATCTCTACTGTTAATCAACAAATAATGAGTTTAATTGATCATATATCTCTACTGTTAATCAACAAATAATGAGTTTAATTGATCACATATCTTTGCTGTTAATCAACAAACAATGAGTTTAATTGATCACATATCTCTACTGTTAATCAACAAATAATGAGTTTAATTGATCACGTATCTCTGCTGTTAATCAACAAATAATGAGTTTAATTGATCACGTATCTCTGCTGTTAATAAACAAATAATGAGTTTAATTGATCACATATCTCTGCTGTTAATCAACAAATAATGAGTTTAATTGATCACGTATCTCTGCTGTTAATCAACAAATAATGAGTTTAATTGATCACGTATCTCTGCTGTTAATCAACAAAAAATAAGTTTAATTGATTACATATCTCTGCTGTTAATCAACAAATACTTTGTGTTGTCGCTGTACTCATTCATATAGATTTACCTGGACAATTTTCCTGTGATTTGTACATGCATTTCTTTCATTGAGCTTTTTAGAAATGTTTTATGTCATTTATGTTTCTGAATTGCATTGGTTTATTCTTGACCTTTGACTGCCCAATTAATGATGATGTTAGCTGAATGATTGCTCAGCTGTAAACTTCTAACTACAATGAAAAGACAGAAAAGGCAATGGTATGGACATTAATAAAGTCTAACAGCCTCTCAAAAAACAATGCTACAGGGCTGAGTAAGGGGGAAGAGGAGAGGCAGACCAAGAAAGACCTGGATACTGAAGCTGATGGACTCGACAGGTTTAGGCATGTAACCACAAAGTCCATTGCATCTGACCCTCAGAGGTGGGGGAGAGCTGATCAGTCAACAGCAGTGATGATCTAGTGATGCAGTGAATGCGACGATGATGGTGACTTATATAATTAGCAGAATTCCATTTTTGGAGTGGGAAAATCTGTCAGAAATGTTTATATAATTTTCTCTCTTGTTTAAAAGAATTTATCTTAGTTACACCTTCTGTGGAAAAACTTTTGTCTTTTTAAAAAATGTATAATTAGCTCTCTTGTGTGAGGGAGAATTTCTAATTCAGTATATCATTACTTTAGGTCGTGGGTTCGCTCCCTGGCCAAGCTGAACCTTTTTTAAAAAAATGACCTTGGCTCCCAGGTCGACCCAGCCTTGAGTGGGTACAGGGTGCTGATTGGTTTATAAAAATATGGGTCTAGCCCTATACGCCTAAAGGCTTGTAAAAGGGTCCTTTACTTTTTACTTATTACTTTCCTTAGGTAAGAGAATTGATCTTGGTTCTGTGTAGTGTCCCTCTGACTGCTGTTTTCGTCTCTTCCATTGTATGTTTGCCAGAGATCACTAGGGCTTCCAGAATGCAAGTTGCTATGTTAGTTGCATGGCACAGTTACATTGTTCGATATCCCCCGTCTCCACTATAACACACACACAGTCACATGTTGGTAATGTGCTTGATTATTGTGATGTTTCCAGTCACATTGTTGGATATCCCCCGTCTCCACTATAACACACACACACAGTCACATGTTGGTAGTGTGCTTGATTATTGTGATGTTTCCAGTTACAGGATGACAGTATTGCAGCTGCAGTGATAGGGTAGCCTGTGAGTGGAGCAGGAAGTTTTCCAGGCAGTGTGACAGACTGTTGACCCAGTAGTGAACCCAGAGTTGACCGCAGCCATTGAACTGTCATTATGATATGATAGTGTTTGTCAACACTATGATGTCATATGCTTAATACTCTTGACATCCTTAACAGTGCTATTGACTGATTACTAGACAGTAGCTTGGTTATTGTAAATTTGTGCACAATTTTAAGGCTTTCATTTGAAGCCTTCTCCAATGTGTGGAATCAAGAATATGAAATCTTCACCAAGTAGGTCAGAAATACTCTGTTTTCATTGTTTCTTCTTCCCTAAAATGATCACCCAATTCTCTACCTATCTGTAGTGGAACATCTCCTGCTGCAGCTATGTTCATTGCTTGACAGTGTGGGACTCTGCCTGGTCAATCTAAACTGTAACCTGGCAGCATACAGCCCACCCCATCTGACATTTTGTGTCTGGTGCCAAGAATGCTTCCTCTGGTAGAGTAACACATCTGTCTGAAAAAACACATGTCTGTGTTCTTTTACTTGTCTGTTTGTTGATCTGTATCAGGATTGAGAATGCAATGACATCCATGACTGTATGGTTTGTTTAACACACTGCCCGCTGAAGATATGAAACTTTATTATTTGGTCTCTCAACTCATTATTTGTGTGTTTAAATATGTTTAGGTGAGCAAGGATTGTTCCCACCAATACACCTAGTGTGCTTCTCCAACACAACCATGGCAGACTTATCCCAGACTTTACAGCTTTATCCTAGACATGGCAGACTTATCCCAGGCATGACAGACAGACATTACAGCTTATCTGAGATATCACAGACTTATCTCAAACATCATGGAGTTATCTCAGACGTGGCAACTTATCCCAAGCATGAAAGATTTACGTAGGCCGACTTATCCCAGACATGGGAGACTTATCCCAGACATGGGAGACTTATCCCAGACATAGAGGCCTGATAGTATACCCTCTTACACCTGTATTGTTATCAGCGGACAGGTTGAACCATCTCTTCATTCCCATCCTACCAGAATACTCTGTTGCATGAAAACACTGTTGATACCAGTATTGAATGTGTTTATGTTTGCATGCTTTTTTTTATTGTACATTTCCACACTGCCTGATGTGTGTTGCTTGCATGTTGTCCTTTTATCATATCTAAGAGTTTGGGGTATGGTCGCCTCTAAAACAAAAGACATGTTACGTTTGTTTAGTTTTGTGTGCAAGCAACTTTTTTTTTTTTCCTCTCCCCCCATTCTCTCCCTATCCTCAGTCTCTCATCTTTTTTCTCTTTTTTGTTTTTATAAATCTGACAGATTGTCTTTATTTTTGTCTCCTTGTGTGGTCACTGTGCTGATATTCTAACTGCTTTACTGGCTAGGTCATTGCTGATGTGCAAACATTTCAGCCTGTATGGGTCAGTTATCTGAGTTGTGTGTCACCAAGTTATCTGCAGTCTTGTATGTATGTGTGTCTCTCACACACAGAGGGAGAGAGAGAGAGTTGTGGTGTTTAGTTTCAGAGCCAAACGTTCAAAAGCGATTTGCATTTCTATCTATAGACATTTTTATTGCTTGTTGTAATTATTTAATAAACTGAAAGTATTTACTCTGTTGTTCCTTTTCTTTTATACATGTTTCCTGCACGTTTTTATGAGTTCTCTTTTTTTTTTCCATTTTTCTTTATATGTTCTGTGTGTACATGTTTCCTGCACGTTTTATGTTGATTCTATACATGTTCATTGTATATGTGTGTACCTTGCTTCTTATATATGTGTGTTTACCATAACTACGATATATTCTTTGTAAATGTGTGGTCTCTGAACTTGCCAACCTTGTGTATCTGACGTACTATCTGTATGTTTGACGTTCCTTGTAAATGTGTGGTCTCTGAACTTGTCAACCTTGTGTATCTGACGTACTATCTGTATGTTTGACGTTCATTGTAAATGTGTGCTCTCTGAACTTGTCAACCTTGTGTATCTGACGTACTATCTGTATGTTTGACGTTCCTTGTAAATGTGTGGTCTCTGTACTTGTCAACTTTGTGTATCTGACGTACTATCTGTATGTTTGTCGTTCCTTGTAAATGTGTGGTCTCTGAACTTGTCAACTTTGTGTATCTGACGTACTATCTGTGTTTGACGTTCCTTGTAAATGTGTGGTCTCTGAACTTGTCAACCTTGTGTGTCTGACGTTCTATCTGTGTTTGACGTTCCTTGTAAGCGTGGCTGGCTGCTCAGTCACCGGTAGTGTTGCCATTTTTCTTTGACAAAAAACATCCAAAACGGAGTAAAAAAAAATATAAAAACATCTAAATGTGCGTGGAAAACATCTGCAAAAAAAAATCCGAACGGAAAGAGTCACAAATTACATAGAAATTGATAAGGCTTACCCTATAGAATCATGTCCTCATCTTTAATGAAGTCTGCCTTACAAGATCCACAGGACAAACTTAGCTTGGA